AGGTACCCTGTTCGCACGCAATGCACTGCGAGCTGGTATAACTGTCTGCCCGCTTGCCCTTGCACACATCTCTGCCCGAGTAATATTCCCGTTGAGCTGGAAAGAGGTGGGTGGCTCAAAGCTGTGGCCTGATCTGATGCAGCAGGAGCAGGGTGTGGGCGCGACCTCAACGTCCAGCGAGGCAAGAGCAACGCCATCACCAACATCACAACTTCTGGCCGCTCCGGTGAGTTCGCGTGTGCAGTGGAGGACCACCATTATGGCCAAAACGGAGAGCTTGATGCGATATTGAGTGATTGTCCAATCACAAACGTATGGCATCTTCTCCTACTGGATCGTGCTGGTGTCGCGAGTGCAGCAAGACGAACTTGGGGTATGCGAACAGCTCTCGTTCGATCACTTGCGCGCTCGCATAGTCCTTCAACACCGTTCATGCTTACGCTGTAATCAAGGCTTCAGTCGCTCGCACCAAGCCGCTTAACGCGAGACATTGCGGCGGGCGGCGTTCAGTACCTGGCGTCATGCGACATCAGATGAGCTAGCGACAATCGCATCCGCCGATGCTTTCGGTTGGTGTTGAGTACGTCCAAGCGGATCACGCCGCTCTCTATGCACTTTTGAACTAACATAAATCCATTGGAGATGCAGCCGCTGATCAAGCCGGAGAAGTCGCACTCGTTCCAGTCTGATATCGTGGAAGATGGCCCAAACGAGTGGCAACCTGCGATCAGGGCTTCATGACCTTGCTAATGGCCTATCATGCGCGGCGTTATTGTATCGCCCTTGGAGCTCGATATTGGAGATGCGCACATTCCACGATGCGTTGTGTTTTCGACGTTCGAGGCCTGCGCCAGCCTCAACCACCCGTGAGCAAGTAGCCGAGCTGATGTATTGCAGCACTATGACAAGAGAGAGAATGTACCTGCGGTGTACTTGCACCATTCCAGACCGTTCTCGAGCGCTCTTACCAGCTTGTACTGATCGTCGAAAGTGAATGGCGGTATGTGTAGAGCCATCTTCGCCCCAATGGCTGATGCCTCACCAACTACTTTGCCAAGTGTCGCAACACTCCAGGTAGTATCAATTCGACTGCACAGGTCAGCCGGTATTGGGGGCCATGACAGTTCTGCTGTCGCGCGTTTGCACCACCTCCGGCCAAGAATCCACCGTCACTTTCATCCTCTTCCGATGTGGGGTTCAGCTCTCGAAGGAAAGTGAGTGATGCAACTCACCCGGGGAAGACATGCGGCGGTGGTTGGTTTCCCAAATTTGCAATGGCCAGGTTACTTATTGGATGCATGTTTCTCGTTGGTGGCTGGATCCAGGGTTTGGCGACGTCAGGCCGTGGGTAGCCAGGGGAAAAGCCGGCGGTCGATCGAAAGGAGCGCATAACGAATGTGTCGTTGGCGGAGCTTTTATATAGGAGATGCGAGCGAACGAGGGGTGTTTTGGCAGCGCGGCGGCTTCTTATGGGCCATTATTGAGAGCCCGCGACTCTATAGCAAAAGGCTGTCGACGCATCTGCACTACCCCGTTTAGCTACCTGGAGGTAAGGGAATGTAGTTACGGGGGGTTCGAAATGTCTTACCACTGTGGCAGTGTAGTGAGGCGCGTGCAGACGCCTTCGTATACGTTGGCGGAATGCGAGAGGTGATTCTGGGCCATGGAGGTGCGAGCGAAGAGCATGCATTACTAGGGTAAAGCATCCGGACACTTCAGTGGCTTCATGTTCGCGTCGCTGCGAGGCAAATCCAAGACATCGCGCCGGGGCCCCCAGCTTCTTGACCCCGAAACCTATAATGATCTGGCGCCTGACCAAGCGGCTTTCGACTGCCCGAAAGGCATCTTATACGCGCTGCGCAACCACCCACATACAGGGTTTGTATGATCGGTAAAATCTTCGTGAAGTGTGCTCGCTGGTGGGCAGCGTTTTGCCCGGGTAAGTTAGCAATAGGGTATTGTAATCAATTGGTAGCGCAAGCTCGCTACTTGGGCGCAGTGAAAACACCAGCCAAATCCCAGCGGTGCCACCGCCCCTGGTTCATTCTTCCCACCGTCGACAAGAGGCAGATCCATGATATCGCTACTTCCGGGGATCTGAACGCTCTCCGATTGTAGGTTGTGCGCGCGCGGCAACGTGGGCGGCAATGAGGTGCCTCTGGGTTCTTACGGGGCGCTGCCAGATCCCATCGCAACGGCCCCTTCACGGCGCCGTTGAAACGTCCGCACTTCGTCGCATCGTTGAGTTAGATCGCCTTCTCTGCGGCGTAAATGCGCGATGGTGCTTTCGGGGTGCTGGACTTGCGCTCGTCGTAGTTGGTTTCGCACATTGTCTTGGGCTCGAAACGTCAAAGTCCACGCGCGAGTCCTGAAACGGCCAAGTCGCTCGCGTGATCAGGTGTCGCGCTCGTGTTCTCGCGTTTCTCGACCGAGGCACCAAGACGTCCTCCTCACATCCCAGCGCCTTCAGTGGCGGAGCGGTACCACCACACCAGTCGGATCAGGTTGGCCATCTCGAGCGCGCTGCTGTATTGACGAGAAATCTCATCTGCGGTCTACAAGGCTGGTGGTCCACTATCCAGATGGTCGATCGCAAATCCGCCGCTTCATAGGATACCAAGTCAAGCCGAAGTAGTAACAATTGGCGTTCACCACCTTTCACCGTCGTTATAACACAGTAAATCTAAAGGTGTCCTCCGAGAACAAATGGATATTAGAAAGTAGTGTGATTAGGTTTTGCATGATGTGCTATGCCGTCGCGCTCTTGCCCGCAATCACTAGGTCTATACAAAGTACCGTGAGACCCATAGCGATTATGTCCGGGCAGAAACAGTCTAAGTCAATCTTGCTAAGCGTAATTCATCTACGGGTGTTCTTCAGAAGCCGTTCCACGCAGCTGCAGTCTTTAATGTTGACTCTTAACTCCTGCAACTTTATGCCGCACTTGTTAATTAGCGTGCGGCGGAGAAGGCTAAGACAGTATGTAATTCAAGCCATAAATGCTGCATGTTGTCATGTTCATCGTTTCAACGAGAATCTCGCTAGTAGTGACTGATTCTTCACTATCCAGGAGACATTATTCTACTATAGGCGTGATAGCAACGGGCAGTGTATAAAGGCGCATGTTGAACCTCACAACATCACGAGGAGTTATATCAGAGCGTTCCACAAACGAGAAAGGATGTTTCAAGACAAGCTCTGATTCCAACTTTTCCCAACATCATTATGACTACTATACAACAAACTTCGCTCTCCCGAGCACACTTTCACGATGCCTCAGACCCGCGTTCAAATCTGTTCAACGCGGGCCCCATACCCCCCTACTCCAGCGATCTGACATGCTCTACATCACCGTACGAACACCCTGCCACCAGCTCGTCCCCTTCAGATTTCGCTTCTTAACGGGCGTCGTGTACCTAGGGAGCGGCGGATCGATCCTTTTGCGACAAAAGCCCCTTGAGACATCAGGCGGAGCAGAACCATGGCGTCGTGCGCGATCGACATTGGACATATATTCATGATCGATTTCGAGGGAGCGCAGGGCGATGGTACGCTGGTACGTTTGTGTTGATGGTTGGTAGTCCAGGTAGATGACAATCTCAGAAGATGATGACGGTAATGTGGCTATAGATTCATCTTGAGACGGAGTCGCCAAGTACTGCCCTGGTTCTGATAGAGCTGGTAGGGCATCGGTGACGGGTGGAGATGGGCCGGGGCGGATGCTGGCTGATTGAGGGCTAGATGAGCCGAGTCCGAAGGTACTGGGTATAAGATCGAATTCAATGGGCAATGATATGAGTGGCGGCTTGTGCGGAGATGCTGGTCTTGCTTGCGGCGTGGGGGGTGATGGACTAGAATGAGGCGCCTTTGTGCTTGGTGCAGCCGCGGCCGCTCCTCGTTGGGAAGTCGGTGGTGAAGTCGATCGAACGTTTCTTACATTGGTAGATGTCTGAGTACCGGCAGTAGGGCTTGAGGACTGGAGAATGGGGCGATCTGGTTCAGTCTCGTTGGTTGTAGCCTGGCTTTCGTTGCCCTCCACAGGCAATCCTAAGAAGTCATCCAGTTGCTCGATATGGTGCCTGCAACGATTCAGCGGTTCAGCATTTCCCCCGACTTTCGCGCGGCTCGCTGGTAGGCGACAGCGGTGGCCTTTTGCCGTGGTAGCGCGACAGGATGGCATGTCAAGTATCGCGATGCTGTGAAAGAGGCGTTGATATATAGTCTAAGTATGGAACTGACGTGTCTTCATGTCATATCGCATGCGTTGGCCCTTCCAGAGACATGCGCCCGATTCATACGATGGTTGTTGGGTATGGAGGCGGATCGACTCGATAGATACGGATCTCTTTGTTCGAAGTATGCCCTTCTTTCCGTGCGCATGATGGTCGTTTTCGTTATCACCCCGTTTCAGTCTTCTTTGTTTCCCGTGGCCGACAACAGACAGGAGCTCTCGCATCACCCTGGCGAGGAAAGTCAGTTGAACATTTGGCACGGTCGAGTGAGAACGCCGACAAAGCAGGTAAGTCAGATATTGTCCTGCCCCTTGGCGCCGAGCTGATACTCGTGAGATCCTGACGACTTTGCGACGCGGAGGCGGCAGTTCGACTCTACCGACACATAAAAAGAAGGTGTGCGCATAGCTGACTGTAATGATTCGTCTATGCTGCTTCATGCGCGACTGATTTAAGCACAACGTAGACCGACCGACGGCTTTGGCCCATGCCCTAACCCTGTTCAGCTGCTGCCCACTCCATCCAGTCCAGCATCGAGAAGATGGTCGACCCAGAAACTCCCCCCACGCGCCTTGTAAGCCAGTCACTGCTCTAAACGCTCTCGATGGGTGAGCATCTCCGTGATGTCGCGAGACAAGGGCGTCGCATGCCGCATACTGAAGGGGGCCTTCAAACCCTGGGCCGTCCGTTGGGACGCTCGTCGCACGCGGGAAGCTGCTGGACTTCGTTCATGAGATGGCAAGCTGTCCGACCGCCCAGACGCCGCCATCAGCTCAGGGCAGTACATCGGAATTGCAAGCACTCTTCCTCCGGTGCCATCCTCTCCTTGTGACCGCTCTTGTGTATCCCAGGCCTGGTGTCTTCTTCCACCCAGCCGTCCTCCGATCGTATGCGTAAGCGTGAATGTTGCAACGGCGTTGCGCCAACGAGATCGGGCTTGTACAGGGAGCATGAGGATGCTGAAGTATAGTGTGTCGCGAAGCACTGCGAACTGTTAGCAAGGGTTTGCTCCGCATGGGAAGGAAGAGACCTACCGGCCATTCTCGCGCCTTTCTCAGCGCATCGCGTTTCTTCTCATCGCAAGGGGAAGACCGTAGAGGGCAACGGCTCTAGTGTGATGTGGCCAATTGCCCATGCAGCTCCCGGGCGGCGTCGCGATCAGGAACTCTTCGAACACGTCGGGCGCCAGATCGAGTGGTTATCCGTATGCTGAACTCCTCTCGACCTGCCACGGCGTCTCCCCGTTGTGCAACTATGACTTTGCCCTGACTACCGGCCGCTGGACGTATATGTCGGTAGAAGTGGCGTTGCAGGCCGGTGTACTGACCGTCTCGCAGACAGCCGGGGCGTATGGGACGGAGAGACGATACGGTGGAGCTGCATCCACGCTCGTGCAAAGTACGCTCTCTGATGTTGAAGCCCACCGGTTCTGTGATTGTCGACGTTGTTGCTCATGAACAGCTCCGGTTCGGGAACGGGGCAAAGAAGTGCGTGACCGCCACAAGAAGCATGAGCTCTTGGGAGGGGACTTGTTCCAGGTGGAAGATGGCAAGCAGCGCTGAACTCATTGCGTACTCATTCCGGATATACAGTCTCTACCAATAGCAGCGAGTCAATTGGTTATCTTCGTGTGCGTATGCTGGCCGTGTGCCATCAGTCGAGGCGACGGGCGAGGCGCGATAATTCGGGGGTGCGGCGGGCTGGAGGAATTGGACGACGTGTCGTTGCGTATAGTACAGCAGCTCCCTGATGTTATCCCAGCGCCGAGTCTCTCCTTGTATCAAGTCTCCATATCTTTGTCGTCGATTTTGGCCATGTGGTGCAAGGAGCTCAATCGCATGGCTGACATTGGCTTCGTACAAACGCCCGGAAACTCGGCACATGCTGGTTCCATACATACATGCACCGAGCGTTCGATCCGACTGATGTTCCGTGGGTGGTCAAGACGTAGCCGTTGCAGACTGCATAGGGTTGCTGAGGGCAGGTCCGGTCAAGGGCAGCCCGCGGGGGTCCTCTCAACCAATGCCTCCTCCCATGGTGCGCGGCCCGTAGCGTGGACGTTGCGCATGGTTCTTGAGATGAATGCCGAAGTCTTCGGTCCTAAACGGCGTGCGAAGTGGGCGCCAGGTCTCGGCGGCGGCAAGGGGTCTGAGGGAGTGGTAGTGTCGACGTCGGCGTATGCGAGGGTGACTTTGCATCACAGTAAGGGTTTGCGCCAAATTTGATTGTGGCATGTCTCGCGCTCGGCCTTCGCTGCTCGTCGGGCCTATGTGGAGGCTTTGGGTGTCGCGTCCGGTGCAGCGGCCGTCGACAAGCTGGAGGCCTTCAAGATTATCGATAAGCTAGCCTGGCACGTGACGTTATCGCGGGTTCGCCTAGGTCCTCGTCTCCAGCCCTGGAAACCTCGGTTCTTCCATAACCCCTCCCCACCGTCAAGGAAATGTCGACAAGCAAGCCAGAGTATACTGATTCTGTTCGGACTGGTACCTAGTTCCTCGCGCGCTGGTCATGGACATCGCACTTGAACTAACGCGTCACTTCCCAATTGAGGAACGAGCATTCAGACTCTACATGTCAGGCACCGCGATCGACTCTACCCGGGCAAAAGCCCATTCCAACACATGCTTATTTACTTCACTAATTGATGTGATAACGCAGCATGCAGATTCCCCGGGGTCGTGGAGGTCCAGCTTGCGTAATGGACAGTGATCAGACTGCGACATTAGAAGTTCCATAGCCACGCGCTGCTGAGCCTGGCATACAGATATGAAGAGTTGTAACCTTACATAGCATACTGACGGTGCGCAATCAAGCTCTCTCGGAAAAAGGACTTCCTGCAATGTGGGTGACGCTCTTCACACTTTTGCGCGTTGCGGCGTACTTCCTCACTCACCAGCACAGCGATTCCTGCGTGTGAAGCCTCGCGACAAGCTCTCCATCGTCATCGACCTACCTAGGAAGAATCTTGCTGCAAGCAGACTTACTGCTTTGTTGAGTGTGCTGGTGCAGAAATGCGGGCACAACGCGGTTGAGTAACACAGTATATAATCGCAATGCAGGTGTATTTCCTAAACACCTTGTTTCACAGTAGGCAGCAGTATATGCAAGCAGACTTACACCCACGCTAGTTAATGCGGCAATGCGCTATCAACATGCACTGAAATGGCGAGTCGGTCGATGAAGTCGAAGTGCTTGAAGTTGGAAGTGCGACATGCGACCTCCCAATCCTGGGCAACAATCAGTGAACTTTGGTGGTTTTCTCCAGCCGCATGACGACAAATATACCCGGGCAAGACCGTAGCTATCACTACCTGTCTCAAAGATGCGGTATCTTGCGGTGGGTATATGACCAGAGCACCGTTCATCGCGGGGACTGATAGGGGAAGATGTAGGAGGGTTGCAGCGGTTCGATGCTCTTTGCGGCACCTCCACCTTCTCCGATTGGCTCACCCAGCAGACACGTGACGAGCCAGGCTGCTGAAGCAACCATGGCGAGGACACCATCGCGGTAACACCGTCACATTCGTTTCTACGCATACTGAAGCTCGTCGTGCTCACTGCTACCTTGGCATTTGAGATGTTCCGATGATTTTCGTCCGCTTATACGGCAGCGGCATCTTCTGTAGTGCACAAATCCATGGAGAACCTGACTACCGACGGCCAGCCTACTGTCCTGAGGAACATCGCAAAACGAAGCCGACACGTCGAAACGGAAGCCAGAACGGGTTATCGCTACGAATTAACAGATCGAAGGTGTAGAGTCAAAAAAGACGAAGCGTTACCGGAAGCGACAAGTGGCTTCTTCAGATTCCACCTTTGAAGCTGGGCACGATGGAAGAAGCCTCCCAGGCAACTCAGCCTCGTCCTCCCATCGAGAGTGCATTATTCCACAATCATTCCAACCACGGGCATCTTCCAGGCCATAAGACCCCGTCCACGCAATCAGTAGATGCCGGCCCATCACTGGATCGCACTTTAGTCCTTGGCGTGAGACGGATAGTAATCTGATGATATCCTGTCATCACCATCACGTCAACACCATCGCATCCCAGGATACTGCTGAGAAGACAGCAATGATGACATTAGCGTAATGAATACGGGCGGAATTGAACAGGAAGTGATATGGAATGCCTGTAGAGCAGTTCTGATGGCAAGTTAAGAACTAGACTGAACGAAAGACATTGCAAGCATCGCAGCAGCACCACACTCGGAGAGCGTTTCGTTTATAACCGCCCTTATCATGTAGCTGCCAGGCTTAGGCTCACAGCACTACGTCATTGCAAACGCATCTCCTCGCTCACCACGATAAACGAAAGCAACGACCAGACTTTGCAACGAAGCGACCGTCTGCTTGATCTCGTTCGACCTTTAGACCTTTCACTAGCAACAACATGATGCGCTGCTCACCAAATATGGCAATCTGGCGTCCTCAAGACAACAGACCACTCGACGACGGCGAGATGACAAAGGTAAATGACTGTTTCCAGTCGTCCATGACCCATCACAACGTAAGGTACCTGCTGACAATCGCAGCGTCGCGATTCCGCCAACATTACTGGGCCCACTCCCCCGTTCCACCGATATAGCCCCGTTCATTTAGAAGGGCCTCTCACGTCGCACGCGTCTTCGAAAGGTCCAGACACGCGCCAACCTGTAGCGACATCAAGCTACCAGATCTTGAGCGACGAGGAACACGTGAACAGTGAGGTCGTGAGTGCAGTCGAGCGAGGAATTTCCAGCGAATGTGGCCACCAGCAAGCTCACCATCACCCTTAGGACCGCGAGCCGGAACATGCCAAAGTGCTAGCTCGCAACGTATCTTGTTCATCACTGAGTAATGCGATCGGTTTGCGCGACAAAGCGAATAGCTCGGTCAACGTTTACGGGACTCGGAAGACGGGTATCAATCCCTTTCTGCGCCGACAAGATGGCCGTCCCGTCCGTCAGCATTAACACACTCCACCCTATCTCCGAGAAACGTGGTATACAGTCATACTAGGCGAAGATGGGGACCGAGGAGATAACAATGCTGCTAAACTAGAAAGATCGACTGAGTTGGGTGGTCGCACATTAGAGATGCGCTGGTACAAGAGACGGGGTGCGAATGACGATCTGGCCTAAGACCCGCCTAATTTCGACGCGAGCGGCCACAATATTAAGAAAGAGATGGGTTGATGACCGGAGATTAGGAATATGGTCGGATTCCTCCATTCTAGAGTTGCATCGGCTTCTTGCTGACGAATGGCTCTTCGTTATGTATTCCTTTGTTGGATTTGGAAACAGCTCTCACTGGTCGTTGATTCGACGAGAGACGAGAAGGGCGCGGGCTTTGGAGGATGTCGGGTTGGTGATGAGGCTCACCTCCGGGAAGGGTCCGCGGATGGGCTCGCGGAAGGGCTCGCGGAAGGGCATCCATCGCCAAACTCAGTCTTCTGACATATATGGCGGAGGTACATTTGACTAGCTTATCGTCTGTTCCATCACGTCCGAGCCGCGCAGTATTCGCCGTCCGTGAGATGCAGAGAAAGAGCTGTTGCTGGAAGCAACAGAGGTCGTGGGCAATTGTGAACCATAGCCCAGGCTTCACCTAGAGCCCGTAGGTCCAATATCGTCAATCCGCAATCAACGTCCTATCCTCTTCATGTAGCCCATTATCTCATCAGCGTCACCCTTCTTCCAAGTCACCTTTTGGCTCTTTCTCCATTAACTATAGCTAGTCTTTTAGTACCGCCCTTCTTCTTACTAGCACCACTCTTCTTTCCAACTTCTCGCTAATTTCTCTTATTAACACCAACGCTTTCCCTTTCAAATACCAGCTCTTCATCCCATCAGCATCGCCCTTCTTGTCACCAGCACTGTTCTGCATCCGACCATCATTACGCTTCTTCCCATCCGACATCTGACCCTTCTCTTCACCAGCGTCTCTACCTCCATGTATTTGCACTACACACCCGCAACGACTTCCATTCCTTCTCTCTACCAGCGGCCTCGTCTTGCTATCGCTACCCTTCTTTTCATCCAAACTCTCACCACTCTCTTTA